TCTTTTCCATTCTCTTGACGTCTCCTCTCCTCTCCTCTCCTCTCCTCTCTTTTCTCTTTCACCTTTTCTTTTTTACATTTTATTTTCTTTTATTTTAGATGGAATGACTTTCAGCATCTAGCAGTAAGAACTAGAGATGAACTGCTGCTCTGAAGAGAAAATGTCTGTGTGTCATTAACCTCATCAACCTCTGTTGATTTAACAAAGAATGTAGGCAAAGAAACGTATCCAAAAGAATGGCAAAAAAATCAGTGTTTTCTCAGGCTTTATCCTTAGTAGATTAGAACAGCAAGAATATCCTTCGACAAACTTCAAAAGTGTGAAAGCCATGGTAGATAACACGTTGTATTTGCAGAATTAAAATTACAATGATCCACAGCTAAAAATCTAGGTGCCTCAGTCTGGGGCAATTTTTTGCCCATCTGGAGCAAAAAGACCTCTGCTGAAATAAGAAGACGGCACCTACTTATGTAAGGCAAGGACATTGCTCTTTAATATCAAAGCCTATTATCACTTCTACTTACTTGCCAATTGCTATGTTTAGTGCTCTGTTTTCCATTGCAATAGTAGACCCTTAAGGGAAGCTTGAAAATCCATCTCTTTATCATGTTTTCAGCTCTAATAGAAGATGTACAAGGCCCTGAACTCAGCTCTTTGTGAATTAAAAGGCTTTTAATTCATCTTTAAGGAAACAATTAGAGATCATCCAGAGCATATAAATTAATCTGATTTTTCTTTCCCTCTATCAAGACTATTATATATCTCTTTTCTTTTTCTTCCAGGTTGGCTTCTATTTTCTCTCAGGTGCAACTGAAGTTTCCTGAGGCAATGAACTGAAAAAGAATCAGCAACATCTGGAGTTATCTACGCTTCTGCCAAATAAAACGAACACGTCTGAAGAGGGCTGCTTCTCAGCATAAAAAGGGAAGTGATGACTAATAAGGAAATGCAATTTACCAAAAATATCTAATTTTGCCTTTTCTTAAATATATCAGTCTCGTAAGTCTCCTTGACCACCTAAATGTCCTACTTGAATCATGCAACAGTAAGATTTGTCCAGAAAGAACAAATATTTGGCACTTCTGTATGCTGTTTGGAGGTGAATGCAAATTTAGAGATCATTTCATAGTATCTTATAAACCATAGACTTTGCATCTGAGTTAACATCCCTCAACTCCATTTTCATCAACAGAAACAGGCAAAGTAGGATTCATCGCAGACATCTAGACATTTTCAGCAGACATCTAAAATAGCTCGGCTGAACCACACCTTAAAAGCAGCAGTTGCTCTCTTTTGACTGAAAAGGCAGCTCAGGACAACTAGCTCAGCCATGACATCTATACCTGTAGATGTCTAATATTAGGAAATATGAGGGTGACCTCCCAAAACTGTCCTGCAGAATCATCCCCCCCTTGCATTCCTCCTTATCTTAGCTTCCCCTTGTTGTAACTGGCACTCTCCTGGAAAGGAGGGGACCATAATCCATAGACAAGAGAGGTTTTTGTCATCTTCCTTACGAAATTTTCTTAAAGAGGTGATATGAACATAAGCATTTATCTGTTACTTAGGTATATTCAGCTTAACTTTCTTGTCCTTACTTTTAAGCCTTTACTCTTATTTCTTCTTCCCATCCTGTTTCTTTTTGCCCCACCTTAAATCTCATTCTCTAGGAGCCCTCCTTTTTCAAGTCCCTCCAAAAAATCATTCCTCCCCACTTGGCTCTATTAATCCTGACCTAATATGCTAACAGCTCTGCCAAACAGTTACTGGAACCAACCTAGTGTGCACCTTCCTTAAACAGCAGTTATGGGATCTTGTCACATACAAATTGTACTGTCTAGAATTTCACTTACAGGCTACCCATGGATGAGACACCTATGGTAGGTGTATAGTCGCATGAGTCAGTGAAGCAACAGTCCCCTCCAAAGGAGCCCTCAGATTGTGTGAAGTTTTAAATTCCCCATGAAGATACTCATTTCTTTTCACTAGTTACATAGAAGGAGGCCTGAGTGGCAATATTCCTTATTTTACGTCATCCATGAAGTGCCAAAAGATTGGTAGGGTGAACCTGAGCTTGTATCTTTTCTTCTTATGGGAATACATCTTAACATTTCATTTAATTCTTGGAAATAATAAATACAAACAACTACAGAGGCACAGAACTTTCAGTTGCCTCAGGGCACTCTACCTGCTCTGAAGCCTATTCTCACCTTAGATTTAGTGATTCTTCAGCTGCTACTGATGTTAAGAGGAATGCTGCATCTGGCAAAATAAGGCCTGCTGACACTACCAATGGACCTCACCAATCAGCAGTGCAAAGAAAAATAAATGCAACAATGGAAGGAAAAGGGAAATAAAACCAAGCTTTATACCTTTACTAAAAGCCTCTAATATCCTCTCTCTATTACTACAAAAGCAAAGGGATGTTGCAAATTTGGATACACTGGAGAGCAATTTTCTTCTCTTTGATGTCACTGATGAAACAACAGGTCTCTCCTCTCTTCACATTCAATACAAACAGCAAAGGGACTCATCCCAGCATGAAACTGGGAGCAGTGCCTGAACTGCCCCTCTCCTGCTAACAGCAGGGGAATGGGTGCTAAAAGCAGGGAAGGTCATCCCCAAAGGTACAAGGGGTTCAGAGTGAGGTGGCAGGTCTTGGGGAGCAAGGTCACGCTTCGGCAGCACAGTTCCGTGAGAAAAGGAGGGCACATGCCAGGATCTGCCCCATCCCAGAGCAAGTATTCTAGTCAGAAGAAGGACAAACTTGAAAATCTTCCCCTTCAGTTTTTTTGTCATTTGAGGAATGCATGAGGAAATCACATGATCCGTTCAGCCTAACTCACATAAACTTAGAAAAGCATGTGGCTTGAATTTTACAGCCTTTTCTTATCATTAGTATTTTTCCTTCAAATCTCACATTTTGTTGGGCTCACAGAACAACAGCAAGGGCTGTCCTGCAGCTAATTTGAGGCCTGCCGATTCCCTGTGACTGCAAACAATCTGCAGCTTACTGGATAAAGTGTCTTCTTTGTATTTCGAAAATAGTCAGCACAAATCCAATTAAATATGTTTCTTTTCTTTCAAATATTATATTGTTCTGAGCGTTTCTGTGTAAGCAAGGAACCCTGGATTACATTCCTCTCCAGGGGATCCTAAATGTTTATACAAATCACAGTAGGCAGCATTACAACACTTCCAACTTTTGCCACATGCACTTTGTCTAAACTCGAACTTGGTCAGAAATCTGTCACACTGCAAACTGTAAAAAAAGAGAAATGAAAAGAAACTACCTTATTTTTGTCCCTTTTGAGGATGTAATTCTATTAACAGTTCTGTACGTCTTTTCCCCATCAATTTAATTACAGATTAATTAATTCTTAGCAGTCTTCTAAAGCCCAGCAAAATATCATCTGACCCAAAACATTTCACAGCAGGGAAAAATTACAAGTTAGATAAAGAGAAAATCCATCCTTTGGGGAAAAAAATGGTGTTTAGAAGAACAGGCAAGGGCAGAAAAAAGATCAGCTCTCCCTTTTCCTCAGCAAACACATGTCGCTGCATGTCTTGCTCGTTACATTTCACTCCTTTCCATTTCCGCACATCGTGCCCCAGACTGAGCTTAACTACAAACTGGTGATGCAGTATCCAAGGACTTCTTATTTTATGCCTCTTCTTGAGGATATCAACATTAAAGTGGTTGAGATACAGCCATGGCCATGCCTTTGCCATTGGTGTTGTTCCACAGTCATGGATCTCTGTTCAAACAGGCACACAAAGCCTGAACGTGCTTGGAGGTGCAACCCGATGATTTAGCCTGTGTCTCAGGCTGAGACAATGTGGTGAGAAATAGCAGGGTCTACATTACAAAAGCCCAGGCCCTGGCAAAGGTTACATTTATTGTTGTCCAAGATAATTTCAGGAAGGACTTGAATTTGCACCCTTTTCTGTGAGCTTGTGTGTTGCTCCTACCAGGCAGGTTGTGTCTGCCATCTGCTTACATTTATGTTTTTATAGGGCCTTTTATCACAGGGCTCCCAAAGCACTTTACACACTTACACCTTGATTCTCTGTTGTAACAGGAGGCGAGTTTAAATTAAAATAATGTGCAGGTCGTAATCTTGGAATTGGGCTTTAGAGCCTCCTTTTTCACCTCTCAAGTGGGGCTATTACAAAGCAGGTACAAATAGCCAGAGCCAGGCATTTCAAGCCACAGTAGGAAAATCACAATATTTCTGTGAATGGAGAAAACAGAACGAAAAAATGATGCTGTGCTTCACATACATTGCTGATAAATCTCACAACATAAAAGAGAAGCACATCTATGCCTTTGACAACTGTGCAGAGGGATAACGCTCTACTTGGCATGAAGAAAAAGAAGCACAACTCAAAAAACACTTACCTCCTTGTCCTTATATACAATTATTGGTGGATTACTCCTGCACATAACAGGGAAGCCCAAAGAAAGGAGAAGTCTTCTTTCAGCATAAGAGCTGCCCCGCTTCAGGGAGGGGGAACTGATGTTCTCAGCTATTGCAGAAGGTCACAGTGGCAGACCAGGAAAGGCACAAGATGTGACATGTCCCTCCTGTACACACAGCAGGTATAAGTGACATTACTATGCTGACCGCCTGGGGAAGGGGACAGAAGCCGAAGCAGCGCAGGAAGCTGAATGCAGGAAGCACGGGAGCAGAGAACAGGAGTTCATTTTTGGAAGTGCTTCCACAGGGTTAGCAAGTTAATTAGTTGCACAGCACGGGCCCAACCACCACTCCATGAAGCTTTTTTTATTAAATCTGCTTATTTTTGGACCCTCTGTTGCTAATTCAACTGCCACTGGCCAGGCCAATCAGAGAGAGCACGCTGCTCCTGCAGGCACAGGTGGACACCCACAGCCGACACTTGCACCTGAGCCAGCCACCTCAGGCTCTTCTACTGATAATGCAGAGAAAGGTTTTCCTTGGGGAAACACTTCCTCTCTTCCTGGAACTGATGGAGAAAATAGGACAAATTACTTGTACTCAACGAGTGTTTGTTTCATTCCACCCTGAAGTCAGGAGAAAGGACATTTCTCACACCCTCCACCCTGCAGAATAGGCTAGTGAATCTGTTCTTGCAGAGCACTTTAAAATAAAAAAATAAAAAATAAAAAAATCAACATAAAAACATAAAAATAGAAATTAACAAAACAAACAAAAACTGTGAAAATTAAAGCTGGTTACCTACAACTGAGTCTTCAAGACATACAACCCTACATATGCTAGCTCATCACTAGGAAGCATAAGTTACTCGTTTACATGATGGCATACTAACTTGACTTCCCAGATCAAAACACCCGATCCAGAGAGAAAGACTGAGAAGGTAAAAAAGACATGAGAACAGGAGGTGAGCAGGCATGGGGTAAAGAGCCAGGAGAGGCAGGAAGAGCAGTAGGAAAATAGTATCAGAGACTGAAAGAAAAAAGCAGAAGCTGCAACGTTATAAATCTATTTCATTCCTGAAATCTTTTTTCTCTCCAAGTCTTTTCCTCATCCACCCTGACCCTCACTTCTGTTCCGTGGCTCACTTTGTGCATCCATTGCAGCACAACTCACTCCTTCACCTGCACAGAGTCATTGCCACCCACAGAAAATTCCTACAAACATCAGCCTGGGGTGCATTCTGGAGCAAAGGGGGGCCTGAAATAGCTCCCGCTGACACCCTGCTCTTGCAGATAAATAACTCGGCACTCACTGGAGCTGGGACTGGAGTCCAAGTCCTCTGGCAGTTTTATGAAACTCTAGCTGTTCCTTGCCTTTGCTTTTCAAAAAGCACATGAAATGAAATGGCTTGTTCCAGGGCAAATGACACAATGGTGCTAAATGGCATGATTTGTTTGTTTGTTTCATCCCAGGAGGGGAGGAGGAGGGAAGGAATGTATATTTGATCTAATCCAAACTAATTTTTTTGTTGCCGTTGTTTCTGCTAAACTAAAAAAAAAAAAAAAAAAAAAAAAAAAAAAAAAGCAATGGTTTGAATAGCCCTACACAAAAGAAGTTTGAGGGAAAGAAAGAGATACTAGACTCCATTTTATTCTCAAGACTCGTTTGACCCTCTGACACCTCAGCCTGAGAGGAACTCACTTACGAAACCCAGCGTTCAGAAATAAATTTTAGAAACAGCCCAAGCTGCCCCACATTCAGGAGAAAAGCTGTTTATTTACTCTGCCTTCTCTTGCACTGCCTGTATGCTTGTGTCAGAGCATGCTCTGAATTGCCCACTGACCTACATTCCCTGGGACATGAAGCTGTGCCTCCCTGCTCCAGGGCTCGGCAGCACCCCTTGCCCTGGCCCTGCACTCCCTCTCCAGTGTTTCACCAGCTCTTCCAGCAACACTCTGCATAAGTGGATAATGTCTCAGGCCACCGAAGCATGCTTTTAAATGGATAGCCAGCCAAGTGTATATTAATTAAACTTAAAAGTTCTATTTATTGCCAAACACAGGGGGATTACACAGACAACAAGTGGCGGAAAGTACTCCAAAATGTTCTCACCCCTTTAATTACTATGCTATAGTTAGCCCAGCGAGCTGATGTATAATCAGCGCTGCTGTACGCACTGTTTACAGCAAGCACTCAGGAGAAACACACTTCACGGCCTCTTTCAGCAGCTGCCACGTTTGGAGGGGCAGGAGGAATACAGAAAGCACCAAAGGGCCCTTTTCTTTATCTCCTCCCCTCAGAGCTGCTCTTTTCCAGCATCCTGCTGTGCTCCCTGGTCCCGGGGGGGTTTTGTCACCAGCCCATGACCCCCTCAGCAGTGCTTGCAGTGCATCACACCAAGTCTCCCATAGTACCCAATGTGTACCTCTCCCAGAGCTGCCACCATGGAAGTTAATTACCATTGCTCCACACTTTGCTGCTGGCCGATTTTAGAGCTGGGCATCTTAGGAGTTTGAATTAATTTTATGCCTTCATGTTTCGTGTGCTTACAGCTCATGCATTTCACAGGCGAGCTGAGCAGTGAAGTGAAGAAGCCAGGAAGATTTGGACCCCCCAAGAGGCTGATTCTCTTCCCGTGAGCCTGTCACTGCAACCAACCGCTTGAATTCAGAGAGATCAGTGCTAGACCTGATTCTACTCAGCCCCTCTAAGGGCAGCTTGCAAGCCCTCACCAAAAGTGTATCTTCTCTGTAAAACTGAAGATGAAAAAAATCAGCAAAATATGGTGAGAAATTAATAGCCCTGTTTGAAAAAGCTCTGCTCTCACTCACACATACCACTACACAGAGTTAATAGCACTGACCTCTGTGCTCCTCTGTTCCCCTATCTCCCAGCAGTGCCTCACAAGCTGTAGCATATTGCTCTCTGCTACTCAACTTGGCTGCCTTCAGCACTGGCAGCTCATTTTCCTTCCCTGAATCCTCCAACTCTCAGTTCATTTCCAGGTGTTTTCATTGAAATAGCATGAAAAAGAATACACATGCACACATTAGCAAGCCAGCAAAAACCTTTTCATCCTCTTGCATTTTCACAACTGATTGCAATCAAAACAGCAACATGCATTTTTCACATGACCCTGGGTCTGTGTTTCAAAAGTCATATCCACTCCCAACTGTACACATTTCCCCATCCAGACAACCTGCACAATATGAGGAATATGTAAATAAAGTCGTGGTAAGCATGGGAAACAGCTGAGTAAATCACATTACAGCATCACAATGTCTGCCACTACTACCACCGCTCTTACAAGCAGTCTGAGGCACCTTGTACATTTAGTACCTCCACACTCATATAGTTAGCAGCTTTTGGACAGCAGTCGTGTCTAACCTTCACCAAAACATTCTGACTTCACCTTCCAGAACCTCAGAGTCTGTCTCACAAGGTCCAGCAAGCTGCTCTTCTACAAAGTAGAGGGAGGTGAAGGTATAAACACTCCCCAGCTTCAAATCTTGGGCTTCTCTGCAAGATAAGATCTCTCCGACTAGCTGAAAACATCACCTGGGGAGTCATCTGCAAGCCTAGAGCTACCAGGGCAAAGAGTGGCACTTTGGCCAGTATTTCTCATCAGCCATACCACCTGTCATGTTCTACCTCCAAAAGCTCTGATGCTCAATCTGAGACCAGGATATCTAAGGATTTCAGGATTAATCAAGAAAGGAGGGATTCTGCATCTGTCCCATTCCACAAATTGAATAACACCAAAGCTTTTCAAAGAGAAGCTGGTCAGAAATTTTCCAATCAGAAAACAGAAATTCATTCCTTCCCAAACTGTTGATGCCTTTCCAAACACACCTGACTTCTCAATTGTCTGGGAACCTCACTCAAGGCTTTGGAGGTGAGCCTTGGGATTTGGGACACCTGCTCAGCACTCAGGGTCTCCTTCCCTGCAGAACTGCCCTGGAACTAGGAGTCTTGCAAACTGCCAGCAAAGGTTTACTGTCAAGGCTGCATTCCACTGTCCTCTTTGTTCCACTGAGCAGGTATAGACCCTGCTGAGCTGCTGGAAATTTCTTCAATCTTTCTTTGCTTTGCTTGCTTTGATCTGCATCACATTTCAGAACAAAAGTATTTCTTTCAAACCGAAATCCAAATTTTTAGGCAGCTAGTTATTTGCTATATTGACAATATCTGGACCAAAATGCAAAATGTATACACTTCCAAATTACTTTGAGATATATTAAAAATGCCCTAAGATGAACAACTGGCAGATAAGCAAACTGAACAACCCTAAATTACACAGAAGTTCATGCATATGCATGCATGTGCATGTACCACCTCACAAACTGACAGAAAATGTTCCCTGACATAGGACAAGCATTGCCTAAGTGGGATTAACATGCTGAACTACTTTGCGTCTGCATCTGGCACAACTTTTGCTGGACAGATGACTCACATCCATTCTGCTCTTAATTGCTAAGTCTTTTGAAGACTTATTCTTATGCTGTCCTATCTTCCTGGAATGGATAAAAACATTAATTTCCTTGTATATGGCAATGTGTTTCCATATATCCCACTGCCAGGTGTTCCTGTGAACCAGGTGGCAGTCCATTCTGCTCTGAATCTTGACTGTGTTTCACAGGCTTGCTAGGACTGTGTCATGTTGGCATTTTCAAAAGCAGGAAGAAAGGCAGTTTGGCATTTCTTTAGAGACCAGCAAACACAAGTGCTGCCCAAAGAGCTGCTGTCCATGTGAGTGGTGATGTACTACATGCATTCGCTTTTCTCAGGGCTGTCTGCAATGAGAGTGGTGGTATTGGTGGATATTATCAGCCTCAGGGTGGGAAGATGCAGATTGCCCCAGAAGACCTTTTTCAGATATTTAGAAAGAGGTTTTGCTCCCTGGGAAGTATGCCTGGCCACTGTGCCAAAGACACAGAGGAGCCCTTTATACCATGTGAAAGCCTTCTCCCAGGCACAGTCCAGGGAGCTGCAGAGCCCCAGAACTGAGCTCAGCCCTTCAGTCCATCACTGTGGACTTACTCAGGCATATGCACATGGCCTTTAGGTCTGAAGCCCTCCTGTTTCCCCAGAAATCACTGCTCCTGCTGGTGTCTGGTTCCAGCAAAACCCATTCCCTGACTTTTGTGTCATTCTCCACACTGCCGCA